CAGGCGAGGGATAGTCGCAGGCCAGTAGCAGGTTAGTTGAGGGACAGTTGCAGGACTTAGCAAACCACATACATAGAATAGAGAACACCGCCTGCAAAAAAAAGACACAGACAAAAAGCAACACGCTGCACCCAAGAACATGCACACAGCTTCGTTACAGGGGGGTAGGAAACCTGCAAAGGAACACGTGGTTAAATACTATTAGAAGGCACGCTCAATATTAAAAGCGACAGAGAGAAAATAAAGATCCGTGTTAACCAGCGCGAACGGAGAGGGGGAAAAGCTGCTACAAGAAGCTTAAAAGGCACGAAGACAACCTAGACAATGTCGTGAAATGCTGTGGAAAATACGATGTCATAGGGCGCGCAATGTTCATTTTTACCGCTGCACCAATGGTAAATATACGAGCGTCACAGAACTGGGAAACAAAATGTGTAATAGTGCCGGAATGGAAATTGAAAATTGCATAACTCACGACAATACCCGTACATGACTCAGGTTGGTGTCGCAAATGGCCCGTTTTGAATAGATCGACGACGAAGGGCATGCATTGACTATGGTAGACCGCCACAGAGTAGGTTTTATTGAATTATGTCACATACCTGTGTGATACAAAGACCACCCCACGTGTGAATGATCGTGATCATGCTGAAAAAAAATTCATGAATGCACATTCCTCGACGACCGTAAATAAACGTTGACTATGGGAAGAATGAAGAAATGCTGTTAATTTTAGGAGAGCAGCAAGAGCTGGAGATGGAAATAGGGTGAGGAAGAAAGCATGTTTGACATGGCCCGAGGGGGCTAAAGCGTTACACTGCAAAACGATTTGGTAGGCTGCCCAAATTGATGTCTGCAGAACTAAGAGTGTAATAGCGTAGACACAACGGTGGAGCAGCTAGATGTTGAAACAAAATTAGGCACATCAATGGGAAAGGTTGAGGGCTGTTGTACGTGGCAAGAGTGAGGGACTGGGTGGTTGGAAGCCTAAGGCGTCGTTTAGTTTGTCGGCCTCACTCAACTATACATGCAATGGCGCTGCATGGTTTTGTTTCTTCATGGTGAAATTGGGGAGCGAGGTTTAATTGTTTGCTAGCTGGGTGACCACTAAGCATGTCGAATGGAAGACAAGGTTTGGATTTCAAGAGGAAAAACATGCCCTCGACGTGATTCGCGAGGGTGGTGCAGTACACTCGTGGCCTGGGGTGGTTTTTGTAGGGTGTGCGGGATTGGCTACGGGTGTTTGGCTACGGATGAGGAATCGCGGGAGAGTAGGCTGAAAAGGTTCAGGTTTAGTGGTAGTTGTGTGTGACAGGTGGCGAAACGATAATGACGTGGCCGGGAGGATACTGGACTTGGCGCGCAAAGGGGATCGACACCGTTATGAAACTCTTCAATTTACACTTTTTTCATAGTGAATAATGCTATACAATTTTCACATGACTGCTTTTACTACGAAATGATTATACAAAAATATGCGATGAGAAGCGGTAAGTTATTGCGGTATGCCCCATCTCTTACATTTAAATCAGGTGGGTATTGAACCCAAGTCTGCAGTATACGATGAGCCCACAGGTCACTTCGGGGTCGGGGTCGATCCCGGGTCAGGTCGCAGGTCACTTCTCGGTGAGGGAGGTTTGCATATGATCCACATGTCGCTCAAATGTCACTTCGAGGTGTTATGAAAGGTACATGGGGGAGATTCCACTGACTCGGTCAGCTCTGGGTCATTCACTTTTTGGAAATGTGGCAGCACCGCTAGTGGCAACTGTACAGATGGTACCTGGACTAGCACTCTTTGATTGCGGAGACGTTCCACATTCGGAAATCTAATGATGAGTTATCGTTATTTGGGATAGGCTGAAACGAGACTTGCCTGGTATATTTGGTAGGCGCCGATGGTGAGGTGCTTGGTGCCATCGAGAGCGGGGAACGCGCGGGAGGTCAAGCTACTTACGAACTTGCACAACGACCTCTAAGGGAAAGCATTTTTGAACTTGGAGCATGCGGTTGCTGCGGGAGTTATGGCTGCTCTGGCAATGTTACAGATACCAAAGACTAATAGGAAACTATGATACACATGACTTCGTTCCGCCATTGTGATGCGCGTGAGTCTTGCTGACGCATAGTAGCATGGGAATGGCACGCCGTACATGTACTTCTATTCAGTGTATGGGTAAGCTGCGCTCGTCCCCAATTGCAGTGAGGCAGATCGAGCATGCTTGCTTGTGTGTGCTTGTTTGCGTGAGAGCGATAACAAAAAATGAACGAGGCGCCACAATTAGATGCTGGCAGCCGCGCTTAGGGAAGAGCACCTCGGACCTGCACTGATTATATTTAATGATTCGATTGGTACTTGAAGGGTGCCAGGCAGTTTTGAGAAAGATTCGCATGCCGTGACTCTCAAAGTAGCGAAGTGAATAGAATGTGTGATACACAGTGGTTTCGTGCTAAGGGGTTGTACTCTGTAAGAGTATGCACCTATCTAGCCTATAGTAACATATGAATATATATTTGACACACCCCCTAGGCTAGATGAGGGGCAGTGCCGGGCTAGAGACACGCAGTTCAGGTGGCACTACTAGTCCAACTTCTGAGGCAAGGGTCCGAAGACCAGTCAGCAAGAGTACAAACTAAACAGGAGCAACCTAGGGCAGCACTACTAATCCAGCCACTAGAACAAGAGCCACAAGGACAGTCAAGATAATATAAGGAGTAGTACACAATCAAGGTCCTAGCAAGTGAGAAGCTACAAGAACTATACCAAGTTGTACACAGTTCCACATATGATCTTTAGGCGCAAGCGCCTTCGTAAAGATATCAGCTGTGTTGGCACCGGAGGCCAAGTGTACTATAGGGGCTTGGAGGTGCTACTGTAGCTTGCTTAGGAGGAAGTATTGCAGCTGGATGTGCTTTGCCCTGCCCTCCAGTCGAGGCCCCTAACACAGGAGGATCATGGCCCTGTTGCCAGCGTAAAGGACCGGGGCAGAGCTAGGCCGCTCACCTAAGTCTGTGAGCAAGAAAGTCAGCCAGCGGAGATCCTGTGCCGCCACGGCACCAGCGTAGATCTCAGCGTCACAGCTAGACTAGGCAATAGAAGACGAGCAAGTGGACCTCCACAAGATGGCACCTGCACCAATGCTAAAGCTGTAGCCCTGGGAGGACCTGAGCGTCTCAGCTTCGTCTGCCCACGAAGCGTCAGTGTGCCCTGTAAGGACCACTAGCCTGCGTCCTCCTAGCACTAGCCCCATGCCCGATGTACTTGCTAGATAACGCAAAACCCTCTTAGTGGCCGACCAGTGCTGCGATCGGTGTTTGCCAGTCGCCATAAAGCGAGCCATGATGCTGAGAGGGTATGCAAGATCTGGACGAGTGCAAGTCATCAGGTACATGAGGCAACCCACCAGCTCTGTGTACGGACCACCAGGCTCTACTGACTCCTCAAGGCATCCCACGTTCGCCAGCCCCGCGCCCACCAACCCTGCACCCGCTGGCCCCATGCGCTCGCTGGCCCCACGCCTGCTGTCCTCGCACCCGCTCGTCCCGCGCCCGCTGGCCCCGCTTTCGCCAGCCCCGCGTTCGCCAGCCACCTGCTGCCGGCCCCGTGCTCGCTGGCCCCGCGCTTGCCAGCCCATGCGTTCGCCAGCTCCGCGCGCACTGGCCCCTGCACCTGCTGGCCCCACACTTGTTAGCCCCGCGCCTGCTGGCCCAGCGCCTGCCGGCCCTGCGCCCGCTGACCCCGCGCCTGTCTGCCTCGTTGCCCCGGCCCTGCGCTCCCCCCGGTTGCAGCTCCGCCGATCAATGGGGGTGGTGGGGGTGGTGGAGGTGGGGCTGGGGATGGTGGTGCAGTCGAGGGGACCGGGGCTGGTGCCCCGGAACAGTGGCAGCAACAGCAGCCTTAGCAGCAGCTGATAAATGTGTATTATTCTATGGTGTACTTTGCTCTAGCTGGTTGTGGGCTATTGGGTTTTGGGCAAAAGGACTTGGGCTGGTTGGCAAGGTTTGAACTCGTTACCTTACCAACACATACAACCTCAAACCCACTACAACATCTTTGATGTTGCAATCGCGGCACTTGAGAGTCTTGGGGTTTGGTCTAGGGCAAGGGTTGGTGGTGCTTGACAATCACATACTGCAACTTTTCCAGATCGAACTGCTTCCCTTCTCGTTTTTACTAGGTGATTCATGGCTGCCTAGCCAAATTACCAGAATATCCCCTCACACTGATTTCGTCATAATCGGCGGCTCAGATCTTGGTTATGAACGTGCTTTACCATTCTGGAAAGTAGAGATTAAGACCTTTCCAACGCGTATAAGCTCATTTCTAGAAGTTACCTAAGCTGCACGCAATGTTCTGTTGAGATCGTCAAACTTAATCTCTAATTAGTTCTTTCCAGATTTGCACGATTTCCATCAGTGGTATCAGAGCCACGGTTAGAGGACGTTCTTTCCTCCATTGGAAGAGATCTAGAGAGGCTTGAAGTGCTCCAGATCTAGTGTCTGACATGGCCCAAAAGTTGGATGGCCCTCCTAGGTTTACCGGCTCGGACTTTTCGCTATGGAGGTTCCAGTTCACACTATGGCTAGGTATTAAGGACCTAGAAAGTGTGTTGGATGGATCGGAGAAGCGACCACGAGCTGACTCTGGGGAGGCGTCTACTGGAGCAACCAGCCAAGTGGGATCCGAGGCTGGGGGAGCATCGTTGAGTGGGGGGAATGAAGGAGGAACCGCTGCAACTCGAACCGGAAGGTCGCAACCAAGTCGCGAGGAGTTGCTCAAAGCTCAAGAAGCATGGGATCGGAAGGATCGCCAGGCATTTCAGTACCTGTGTTGGGCTTTGGAGGGGCAACTTGAGCTTCTTAAGATGCTGATTGACCTGAAGGGGAAGGAAGGTGCAGCAGCTGCAGCTTGGAAAAGAGTGCAAGATAGGCACTTGCAGAAAGGGCTTCTAAGCGTGCTTACTTGGCGGAAGCGGTTTTACACCATGGAGCGGAACTATGGGGAGGGGGAGATCATGGTTCAGTATCTCCAGAGGGTGGATGAGAATGTGAGGGCTTTGGAGGAGCTAGATTACACGGTAGATGAGAAGGAGATCATCTATACTGCACTCCAAGGGTTGGATCAAGCGGCTAATGAGGCATTACTACAGTACCTTCACCTCGAGCAACAGAAATGGACCAAGGTGTGGATTTGGGAGGTTTTAATTTCTGATGAGGCTCGCAAGGTTGATGCTGGAAGAGGCCTAGAAGGAGGCATGGGGGCAGCAGATAAAGCTTCCTTCAGGAAAGGCCATCAACAGCAAGGAGGTGGGGGTGGCGGCGGGCAGCAGGGTTTCTGATCCAGAAGAATGACGCGCTAGCTGTAGCGGTCAGAGGGCACGCCTGGAAAGGCGCACACCAGAAAAGGCGATCGCGAGACTCATCATGGGGAGGGTGGAGATTTCTGGGCGGAGGGGGAGGAGAGGGGAGGTGGGGAGGGGGAGGGAAAGGCGCGAGTGTGGACAGGATACTGGCGATCGTGGCGGTGGTGCTGTTCGTCTCGAATTACTACCTCCTCTCCTCGCGCATGGAGGGGGCTGCGTGGAGCAAGCACGCGAGAGGTGATCATGGCGTGAGGGCGAGGAGCGAGCAGCAGGAGGCGGAGGCGGAGGTGGAGGGAGTGGGTGCTGCTCGGACGGCGGACTCGCCAGTCCGACCTTGGTACGACCACTGCTCTCACTGTGACAGGCATGAGAGCCATGAGAGCCATGAGAGCCATGAGAGCCATGAGAGCCATGAGAGCCATGAGAACCATGAGAACCATGAGAACCATGAGAACCATGAGAACCATGAGAACCATGAGAACCATGAGAACCATGAGAACCATGAAAACCATGAGAACCATGAGAACCATGAGAACCATGAGTACCATGAGAACCATGAGAACCATGAGAACCATGAGAACCATGAGAACCATGAGAACCATGAGAACCATGAGTACCATGAGAACCATGAGAACCATGAGAGTCATGAGAACCATGAGTACCATGACAGCTACCACAGCCATGACAGCCATGAGCGCCACAAGCTCATCGGCACAGTCTCCCAACTCGTGCCTCGGCTTGCTGAAGCGTCAAGCAACCACACATGCCCCCCCGCCCCCCTCCTCCCACCCTCCCAACCCGACCCGACCCCACACCACCCCCCCCTCCTGGCCGCTGTGCTGCAGGACGGGAGCGCCCAGGCATGAACGGGACGAGTGGCACCAGCATGCTTTGACTCAAACCCCCCCCCCACCCCCACTCCCCCTCCTGCCCACTGTGCCGCAGGGGACACGCGCGCAGGTATGAGCGAGGCCAGTGGTACAGGCATGCTTGGACTATAAAGCCCCCCACCCACCCACCCACCAACCCACTTACCCTGCCCTCTGTGCCGCAGGGGACGAGCGCGCAGGTATGAGCAAGAAAAGTGGTACGAGCGAACCTTCCACACCATCCCGGGCACTCTCCCGCGCCCTGCCTGGAACGCATCGGATGACTCCTTTCTCAACTCCCTGGTACGCGCCTCTTACTCGCCCTGCACGGCCCTCTCACAGCCTTCATTGCATCACCTCTTGGATCCACGCATCCCTCTGCCTACCATTCCCTCTGGCTACCATTCCCTCTGCCTACCATTCCCTCTGCCTACCATTCCCTCTGCCTACCATTCCCTCTGCCTACCATTCCCTCTGCCTACCATTCCCTCTGCCTACCATTCCCCCTGCCTACCATTCCCTCTGCCTACCATTCCCTCCGCCTACCATTCCCTCTGCCTACCATTCCCTCTGCCTACCATTCCCTCTGCCTACCATTCCCTCTGCCTACCATTCCCTCTGCCTACCATTCCCTCTGCCTACCATTCCCTCTGCCTACCATTCCCTCTGCCTACCATTCCCTCTGCCCTCCATACTGGAAAGATCCCTTTGCTATCCCGCCTTGCTGTAGCATCCAACGGGCGTTGCATGCGTGCTGTTCATTCGTGCCTTACCCCGCCTTGCTCTGTCCCTTGTTCTTCAATGCAGCACGGTTCTGACCATTCTAGATTCGACGATTCTCGATTTGACGATTTTGGGAATTTCCGGCCCGGGGATCCCCCATCAAGAAGAATTCGGAGAGAAGATTCTCGATAAGAAGGTTCCTGATAAGCGGATCCTCGGTACGGTAATCCTCGATACGGAGTTACTCGGTCAGAGAATTCTGGATAAGGGGGTTCTCGGCCAGGGAATTCGTGGTTAGCGGTTGCAGGACCGCGGGAGCAGGCCCTGGCGGTGCATTCCAGGTGCAGCGGCGACCCCAGATGCATTGGCGAGCACCCGCACTGCGGATGGCTCTCAGCAGCGCTGGCAGCCATAACTGGACTGCTGAGCCTGGCTGGAGGCCCATTGACACTGTCGCGGATTCTGAACGACTTGTGAATCTTGCATGATAGGCGAAGGGCTCCGACTCGGGACAAAAGCACTACTTGTGATTCTAGCATGATCAGTCGGCCTGACGGGACCGCCTTGGCCACTGTCGGGAGCGCTACTGCTGCTGCTGCTGCTGCTGCTGCTGCTGCTGCTGCTGCCGTTGCTACAGCTGCTAACGGCTGAAGCCTGATGACGAGATCTGTTCATGCCAAAACGTTGAAGCCTGAATTCTACCGGCTGTTGAAGCCTCGTCAGAAAGCTTCCTAGAAACCAACCAGTTCTGAAGCTTGCCTCGGAGATATCATGGAATTCATCGCCTAAGCTAGCTCTGCATTTGAGTCGACTCAGAATCTAAGCTAATCTATCAGTGAGAATCCAAAGAAGTCCCGTTAGGTGAGGGGACGGTACACCACTGATTAAAGACCCAAAGTGGACGGTCCTGGCTGGCCTATCCGTGCACAAAGCCTATCATTAGTTGCTGTACACATCTCGCGTGCCTCAAACCACGCAGACCGATCGTTTCAAGCCAAAAGAATTGCTCTTCAGGTGCGTCTCCAGGCTAATAAAGACAGTAAGACAGGAAGGTCCACCAGCCAAGAAAGCCAACTCAAAATGGAAGCACAGGCGATTGCTGAGTCCAACGAACAGACCACTGCAGGTATCGATGGTGTACCCTTCTCATGGTTCTAGTGGTTCTCGTAGTTGTCTGTTTCTAGCGACTGCCTTGATGCGTTGTGCTCGTGTTGTGCTGCTGAGTTGCTTCCGCAGGTCTTCACCACCACAGGCTTGCAGATTTCTAAGGTTCGTGCGGTGTGTGGGCGGAATGGAATCCCAAGGTCGTACCTGGCGAAAAAGGTTTTCCATAAGATTTTCGCCCACGTGAAGGTTCTGTGTGACGAGGTAGCGTAATCCCTGTTCGCAAGATGTCGACGGGGTCGGTGTTGTCAGAACGAATGCTTTCGCGCTATTGGCTGCTGAGGGCAAGGCGCACTGAGCCTTCTGGAGCTGGCTGAAGATCCAACAAGTCGTCAATGTCACGACAAGAGGAAAACCCGACCATCAACACTGAGGGCGTGTCCAGCGCGTTCATTTTGCCCCAAGACGAATTTTTGACGTTTTTTTCACACGCAGAAATATTGATTCGCCAAGTGTGAATCTGTTGTTGTACACCTACTGTATCAACAGCAAAACGCTGGGGCACGAGTGGACACGAGTCCCGCCCGTGGCTCGACAGATGAGCGGGTGCGCAGCGCGCACATAACAGACTGACACGCGAAAACATCAGGGTAACCAAATTTCGCCCTGGAAATTTCGCCACGCGAAAATATCAGTCGAGTCGCGCATGCAACTCCAATTCTTCTTCCGCTTTTTTCGTCGTGCTTCGCAAGCGTCACGAAATCCTGGCGAATGTAATCGTTCTAGTTTTCGCCAGCCAGGATTTGGACGTTTCTGCCGTGTACATAATTTGCGCACGATTTTCATTCGGTTCGGAAACGTGTTGCAACGTCTGTGGGCACGTCTGGAAGGTGTCCGCCGAAACCGTCAATTTATCGTGCGTGTCCGAACGGACACGAAATTTCGGGTTACCAGGACAGAATCCTGTACCTGATCCGCAAAGTGAATAGTAAACGAACGCGCTGGACACGCCCTGACCGACACTACATACCCGACAAGGACGCCCACAACCACAAGGTAGCCTTCGAACATTCCGATTCCGAGTGCAGACGCTGTTACATTCAAAATCTTCGTGTAAGGAATTAACATTCCTTATTGCGTTAAACTACAGCGCGTAAACCCGAAGACCTCGAACTCGCAGGTTCGGCCTGTTGTGGTATATTTCATACTTAGCATTTCTGTAAGTCGTTTATCGATAGATAGTGTCGAATCTTACTGTAGAAGATAAGTCCGCAGGATGACGTCAACAAATAGCGCCCGTCATAGGACAGTCGTTTCAGTCACGCGAATAGTCGCACCTCTTCATTATCATTTAGGGCGCATAGTGCGATAGTGACGAACAGGTACATTAGCGAACAGGTAGTTTCATAGAGCTATAAATCTTTGTTATGTTCTTTTTATTACTAACCTTGAGATTTCAACTTTGAGAACTTTGAGACTTAACTTCTGCAGAAACATATACTCAGGTTTACTCTTACAAGACTTCCGCTGTCTTACTAGTCTACCATTCCAGTAAAGATCCTAGGCTAACACTTGAGGTTTTTCCAAGTGTTCGTGTTTGCAGATTCTATACTTCGTCTCCTGCGACACCTGTCAATATATTACACGGCCATTATTGTCGGCCCAAACCTCCCCGAGTCTCGTTTCCGACACCCTCGTCACCCAACCAAACTATTCACGTCACGAGGTCCTCGCCCTAGCTAGTCCTAGCACGTCCGTGCCCCATTTTAGCCAGTTCGCTCGTCACTTGTGGACACATTATTTTTGGAGGTTCTATTCACATTATTGAGTGGTTGTTCCATTCCCACTCATAACATCTGGTATTCATACCACTTTCTTAGGCTAGTCGCTTCCGTCTGCCCGAGATATTTTTTCGGGGGGGGGGAGGAGGAGGGTGTCAAGATTATATAAGTTGTATATAATTCATAGGCTTGATAGTTGTTACTGAACCTTTATGTAGAGGGTACAATCCCCTCCTTGTACCTCTCTCTCTTCCTAATCGACTCTCTTCTTTCTCGACACTTTTCTCCTTACCTTCCTAGATCTACTTTCCTCCCGCCATTCCATAGCGGCCTTTCCTAGTATCTTAGCTTCCTAGCCAAGCTAGTGTCCTAAGCTTAAGAAGCTAGTGTCCTAAGTTTAAGATGGTATCAGAGCAGGAGGTCCTCCCTGCTGGACCGCCTACTCACGCTTCTCGCGCTGCCATGGCACCCGTGTCGTGCCGCTGGCCGCGTCATGCCGCGGCCGTCTCGTCGCGCTGTCGTGCCGTCGCTTCCGCTACGCATTTCTCTCGTCACTGCCTTCCCGCCGTGGCGGCCATGCCGGCCTGTCATGGCGGCTTCGTCGTGCGGCCGTCGCACCCTCGACGCCCTGCCGTGGTGGCGTCGCCGCTTTGCCGTGGCAGCGTCACCTTGCTGCCGTTGCAGCGTCGGCGTGCCGCCACATCGTCGACGCCGCGCTCTGGCGGCGTCGTCATGCTGCCGCGGCAGCGTCGATGGGCGGCAGCGGGCAGCACGCCGTCGTAACCGCCACCTGCCCGCCCTCCTGCCAGTAAGCGCCGCGCCACTCATGGCGCGTCGCTGAAGACTCGTCCCTTCCCCCTGCGTCTTCCCTTCCTCCTGTTGCAGCAGCTGTCTTCTGCCCGGACGTTGTCACACCGCCGAGAGCCCTCAGCCGCGGCAGTCGCCGCCTGCCGTCAGCGACACAGCCGCCTTGAGCCAGAGCTCCGCCGCTGCTTGTCGCTGAGCCGCTAGATGCCGTAGGCTGCCTCTCGCCCGGGGGTGTCAACGCTTAGCACGAGGGTCAGATACCCGGCTAAGCACGAGTTTGAGGGTGTGCGGGGCTAGGGGGTGTGTTGGGTGGGTGTGTGACTATCAAGCCTAGGGGGTGTGTCAAGATTATATAAGTTGTATATAATTCATAGGCTTGATAGTTGTTACTGAAACTTTCTGTAGAGGGTACAATCCCCTCCTTGTACCTCTCTCTCTTCCTAATCGACTCTCTTCTTTCTCGACACTTTTCTCCTTACCTTCCTAGATCTACTTTCCTCCCGCCATTCCATGGCGGCCTTTCCTAGTATCTTAGCTTCCTAGCCAAGCTAGTATCCTAAGCTTAAGAAGCTAGTGTCCTAAGTTTAAGAGAGGGATGGCTGGAGGGCCTGAGGCTGCACAGCGGTTGTCCAGGAGATAGATATGATTAGCTCTTACAACTACGATAGCGTGTGCGCCTCTACTCCGCTCGATCCCTTCCTTTGGACGGCCTGGATTGGTCGTGCCATGCCCTCCCCCCGGGAACGGACAGCTGTATCTGTCGCGAGTTTTTGCGAGTTTTGATAGAACTTGAAAGTATAGAATCTTCCGTCACAAGTACTTGAAGTAGAAAGTAATACCATATTCCCCCAGATAAAACACACAGGGGTGTTAGGAAAAATCCATGTAAAATTTGGAGGGGGTATAATTAATGACACATTTTGGCATAACGTCCGAGGGCTATGGAATGACACTTTTATGTTTATGAACTGGAATTGAACTGTGTTGTAGACAGTTCTTTTGTGCCAAAATTTGACGATTCTTGCACGTGATCGCGTATATGGTGAGGAGGACCATCGTCATGCCACGTTGCAGGCAAACAGTCACAGGTTGCCTGCGTCACAGTTTGTCACGTTCTGTCAAATCATGGTGGCAAGTGGCAACCTCAACGCCACAATGTGACAGCGCACCAAAAAAGGAAGGAATCTGCTGCAAATTCCTTCACGACCCAACCAGGGCCGACTGACATGGATTCTCCCGCACTGCAGTGTTGACTGTGAGGAGCGTGTTCCCATGAGCCTCGTACAGTATCAGACTCGCAACATTCGCCTGAGTGACGGGAATTCCAGGCATGGTAACAGTTCTACACCGCATTGAACCACTTCGCGTCGAGCTTGCACTGCTCAGTGACGCGCGAGTCTAATAAGAGACACTCTGATAAGAGACAAAATCTACTGAAATCCATAGAAAGGGAACCAGGGGGTGGTGTATAAGTTTCATGCCAAAAAATAGGATGGTATGAATATCCAGTCTAATAAAGCACCCAGGTCTGCCCAAACCACCCATGGGTGATCGATTCCGGCGGGTGTTTTATCCGGGGGAATACGGTACTAGGAGTACCTCCAGTAACAACCAGTATTAACAAGTTGTAACACCAGAATCAATATTACAGTCTTGCAATACTTCAAGTCTTAAACAAGGATCTTTGCTGGAATGGTAGACTAGTAAGACAACGGAAGTCTTAGAACTTGTAAGTGTTGACCAGAATTTACTATAGAACAAGTTAATAATTGAAGTCATACAAGCAACTTTTATATCTACCGTATTCCCCCGCATATAACACCCTAGGGTATTGTAAAAATTTCATTAAAAAAACGTATGTGTGTTAACAATAGGCTGGAAAAATATAACGCCCATGTCTTATGTAAAATGCAAAATGAATTTGGGTTGTAACACGCACTCTGAGGCCAAAACTTCACCGAGCATCTGCTAACGAGGAATCTGCTACAGAGATTGCGTACTCTGACAGGGTCAATTTGGTGCCTCTGAAAACGGTGGGAGATTGATGCAGCAGCAGTGCCAGGTGTCATTGACCAATCTCGTATGAGTGCTGTAAACACAGTCACGACAATTGCTGACGCGATCGAGGTGGCTCAACAGCAAGATGGACGGTCAAGATCCTCTCGACACTTCTTGTCTTTCGATTTCATTTTGCCACTTGTATTGATTCTTCTGCCCGTCTTTGCACTGCGAATGGCAACTGACGCGATTTTCATCCTGCTCGTTTTTTTGCAGCTGAGCGAACCTTGGTAATGAAGGACCGAATACTATTTAAACGCAAGAAAAACGAGCAGGATGTTATGTAAAATGCAAACCCAGAAAAACGGGTGCTCTAAAAAATGCGCCATATCATAAGCTATCCCCCGCATATGCCACCCACGGGCTGACTATTTCGGCGGGTCTTATATACGGGGGATTACGGTA